TGAATTTGAGCAGAGGCTGTGAGCAGAAGCTCCCTGGCCTATGTGTTACCTCCATCCAATATGAGAATTTTACCAAAGCAGCTAATTTGTCTAAAAGCCTTTTTCAGTTTATATTGCAGAATTGAACCTTTGAATTTGAGCAGACGCTATCGATCTGTCACTGACCGAGGGACTGTCGTCATGGGTCACCTCAGCTGTTTCCTACTTCAAAAGAATGGGTGGGGGTGGGAATGTCTGGCACAACCGTTTGCTTCGGATTGGTGTTGCTTCTCTGGCTGGTCTGTAGGCTCAGGGCTCAAACTAAGGACTCTCATACACAGTCTTATTGTATGATTTGGGAAGTACAACCTCTGCCTCTATCCCTCAATGTATGGGTGACCTACTTGCTTGTAAAAATATGAAGCCTTATCATTAATTAATAAAAAAGGGGGATATGTTAGGAGCCGGTGCGTATGTAAGGAGCCATTGGAAGCTGTGCGCATGCGCAATGGGTAACTTTGTAACTTTCCTGCCCTTAGTCTCCACCCCTCCCGTGACGTCATATGGTTCGATCAGCTGACGTTACATGGTCCGAGGGTTTCAGCCAGTCAGAATGTAACACTTCTGAGGCGACGGTTGCCAGCCTATATAAGGAGGGGTTTTCGGGCGTTCAGGGTCTCCATTTTGTAAGCTAATGCCCTTCCTCTCAAGAGGCATTAAAGCTTTACTGCAGAAGGATCCTGAGGCGTGTCCGCGTGTCGTTTTTGCTGGCGAGGCGGTTAGCGCGGGACAAATACCACCATCATTTTCATACCCACTACAAGCTATCACACCAGCTGCCACTGCCTCCCTAAATTATTGCCACCCTCACTACCCACTAAGAGCACCATATCCATGCCCATTACTATTTCCATGCCCATCATCTCCAGCATACCAACATCATTGTCAACCTAAAACAAAAACAAGTAAATCATTGCTCAGTGTAGCAATGTGGACCCTCCTATTGCTTGATATTATTTCTATCATATGCTAATTTATAATCTTGATTTTTTCCAGGGACTTTTTCCTAAATGCTGTAGATTATATCATAAAATACCAAATAAAATGAAGAACTAGCAAAACATCAGAACTTCATATTCAGTCCTGTCATTTGACTCATAAAAATTCTTTAAAAATCCAGAATAATATATGCAGGAGGAACTCGTGGTTATCTGACCTTAAAAGGTCATAAAACTAAGAGAATCTAATATTTATCTCAAAATCACCAATGTGTGAGTATTCATGTGTGTGGACACATGTGTTCCATGTCTCTGTCTTGAAGGTTCAGACTTGGAGAAAATGTCCATGCTATTTGTTCATCTGTGGCTGCTGTTCATGGAGCTTCAGTGGAAGGAACTCATCTTGAGTGTCTCAGCCTGGAAAGATATCCAGCTGCTCTGACTCCTGTGACAGTGCTGTCAGGATTAGTATATTAGTATGCATCATTGTAGAGAGTGAAGTTTTCATCATGATGTTTTAGTATAGGCAAATAAAGCATATTAATCATCACCCCTACATTCAACATCTGGGAAAAACATGACACTTGTCTTTTGGATATTTGCTTATTTCTCTTAATATTATTTCTTTTAAATAATATTTTATTAATTCTTTGATAATTTCAGATTGTGTGGTTTTACCTTAATCCCCTCATCCACCAACTCCTCTATCAACACTCTTGACACTGTCCTCTTACTACTGATGTAAGTTGGAGTTTTCCTCCGCCTGTCTATCAAGTCCATGTTGTTGTGCTGAAGGAGCCTTGGCAGTATGACCTATCCTTGAGTGTGGTCACCTGATTGAAGGAAAACAGCTCTCTCACAAAAGTTATCAAATGCAAATAGCTCATCAGCTAGTGGTGAGATTTCATGGTTACCTTTATCTCTTCATGTTCAGTTTTTGTCTGACTTTAGCTTGCATATATTTTGTCCATGCCGCCCCCGCCCCAGTTGCTGTGGTTCAAATGTAGAACTGTAATATCGTGTTTGGGAAAACTGTTTCCTTGATGCTATCCACAATTTCTGATTCTCCTAATCTTCCCACTCAATCCAACAAAAATACTGAGGACTCCCAAGACTGCTATTCTCTGTACATTGATCAGTTGAGGAGCTCTGTGTTAATTACCATATTGCAAGAAGAAAGTTCTCTGATGCAGAAGAAATAAAACACTGATCTATGACTATAGTACTAATCCATATGGAATCATTTTGATTTTATGCCCATTTAGCAGAAAAATAATTATGTATTCTCCCCTAAGTCCTATGACCTACTGAGCCACAGGTTCTTGGCTGCATTAACAGGACCAAAAACAAGCATGGGTTCCTTCTCATTGAGCAAGTCTTTAGATATAATCAGAAAGCAGTTGGTTACTCCCATAACATTTATGACACTGTTGCACCAGTGGGCATATTTTGCCAGGCCAGTCATTGTAACTCATAAGTTTCACAGATGGGTGAGACTGATGATTGCTTTTATACTCTGTTTGCATGCACATGAAATTCCAGAATCATGAAAGCTAGCTAGTAGGGACAAGGTTTCCAGCTGAGTATCTGCTTTATCTCTCCTTATTCTGTGACTCAAGCATGTGGTATCTTCAGTGATAGAGGGTCAAACAATGGAATTCTGGAAGGTAACAAAGAGTATTGTCAATAGCCTAAAATGCTTGGTGGTCTATGGGACTCTGCTGACCAACAATTCAAAAGAGATAATTCTTTCCTGATACTGGTATTTTTATTTGCTAGTATAAGGTGTCAAGTTACAGTATTTGTGCACTCATTGTGAGATAACACTATTAAAACTCTTTATGCATATGTGTATGTGTGTGTGTATATGTAAGTGTATGTGCATGTTTGTGTATCTGTGTGTGTGTGTGTGTGTGTGTGTGTGTGTGAGTGAGTGTATGTGTATGTGTATGTGTATGTGTATGTGTATGTGTATGTGTATGTGTATGTATAGGTGTATGTTTTTGGAAGCTTCTATAGCAGTAGGTATCCAAATGGTTTTATCAACTTTAACATTAGTCATCTCTCTCCATATTTCTTCCTTTATCCTGACTTGCCATTCCAATTTAACCCTTCATATTTCACTGTCCCCCTTTAGCCCTTTATTCCCTTTGTTGTGATGTATCTAGAACAAGAGCCTCAAGAATAACTCAAATGATACTATGTGACACTACAATCCCAGCTGGCCAGATAATTTTCTAATTTTGGTTATCAGAAATCAAATATTTTCCTCAGATGATGCTTTAGATGTGATTGAGGATATGGAGAGCAGTAAGTGACATACTGAGTGAATTCTATTGACTTTGTCCTGTGGTATGTGCACTAGCCTGTGTTGTGAGTCATCCACTAGTGGGGTTACCTAGCCTCAGGTGCTGAACTGATGACTCTTTCCCTCTAGGGACATGAACAGTGGCATTCTTGGCTAAACCCTTCCTTACTGTCAGAAGTGTCAGCAGTCACAGGAAGCTGACACATTTCAGTGAGTTTGATTCAGTGCCTGTGTGCTTCTCAGAGCAGAGCTGGGGCTAGTTAAAGGCTTTGTTTCATCTTCCTCATTCTATTCTTCCATCTCTAATTATTAAGTGATATTATTTTTCACATTCTCTTTTAATTTTTAAGTTAAAATTCAATTACATTGACCTTTGGAAGCCTTTTTAACAACTTCATCAAAACAAGAAGGCTCTAGAAACAGCACTTTAAATATGTAAATATGTAAATTTTTAGAATTTACATATTTCTTAGAATACTAAAGGAATGAGAAAAGACAAGGCTTACAAACACATTAATTACATAGAGATTTATTGCAAAATACTCATCAAATACCACAATTAAGAGGCAGACTGTCTTAGTCTTATGAGAATAAATAAATCTAAGTGCTACAAAATGACAAGCAGCTGAAGTAGATCCAGAAAAGATGAAAGAGATAGTATCTAAAACCAAGAAAGATAATTTTTGACAACCAGCTAGGAAACCCCTAGTTTCTCCAGCTGCAACAAAATTCTGAAACTGAGAAAGACAGAATGGCCTCTGAGTCATTGCAATCAACCCAGTGACTATGTCCAAGAACAGGATATTTTCTATTTTGGAGAGTCCTGGTTAAGCCAGTTATACCCAGATTTGCATTTTGGTTGGGAAATTGTTGGATCTGCCCACCATCAAGCATCTATACATTCTACTGGGTGGGGCAGCTAGTCCTATAAAAAAGTGCTAGCATGAATGACTGCAACACACTTGGAGCTCAAGCCCCAGACTACGGACAACCTGGTGAGTCTGACTTCCTGACTTGGTGTCTGTTTATGGCCTTTTCATATGGTTTAATTTAGAGAAAACAGTTTAATGATTCTAAGTTGTCATGTGTTCAATGTCAGCTACCAATCTGAAATTTAGCAATGTAGTAGAGTGATACACTATGTCAGTTTGCTTGTGTCTTGTGTGTAGGTGGTTGATGCCAATGTGGAAAATCAAGACAATAGGGAAGGACTGCTTTGAAGATAGTGGCAGAGCAGAGTATATTTTATTTTCTTACATTTTGTACCCTTTTCAAAAGCTTATATCTTAGCAGGCATTGGACCCTTGAATTTTCCTAGGTGTCCTCTGAAATGAAACCCATCTTCTGGGATTTCACAGGTGCTGATGTGATAAGGATTGGTTTTGAGATTACTTAGTGTTTCAGAAATTGAGACTGCTGTTCTTGAATATGTTATTTTGTACAAGCAAAACCTCTCTTTGGAGCAGAGATGTTTCTGGGCATGGGGAGTGCAACCTAAGAACAAAGTTAAATGAAACAAATTATTGAATTGGAAGGGAAAATCCAGGGAGTCCTAAAAGAAGAAGAGTTGGGGAGAACAGTGTTTATGTGAGAGAATTACTGACCAGAGTTCTATAAATTAGATTTCTCTATGAGAATTACCTCTTGAGAGAACTGTTATGTAATGTCTTTCAGATTCCGAGAGTTCAACACAATGTCTTACCAACAGCAGCAGTGCAAGCAGCCCTGTCAGCCTCCTCCTGTGTGTCCACCTCCAAAGTGCCCAGAGCCTTGTCCTCCTCCAAAGTGCCCAGAGCCTTGTCCTCCTCCAAAGTGCCCAGAGCCTTGTCCTCCTCCAAAGTGCCCAGAGCCTTGTCCTCCTCCAAAGTGCCCAGAGCCTTGTCCTCCCCCCAAATGTCCTGAGCCTTGTCCTCCTCAGCCATGCCAGCAGAAATGCCCTCCTGTGCAACCTCCTCCATCCTGTCAGCAGAAGTGCCCACCCAAGAGCAAGTGAGTGCTTCAACAGTCACCAGGACCAAGAGAAGAGAAGAAAATCCACCCCAAATGTCCTGAGCCTTGTCCTCCTCAGCCATGCCAGCAGAAATGCCCTCCTGTGCAACCTCCTCCATCCTGTCAGCAGAAGTGCCCACCCAAGAGCAAGTGAGTGCTTCAACAGTCACCAGGACCAAGAGAAGAGAAGAAAATCCATCTCACCTACTACCATAGCAACACCTCCATCTTCCCTTCAAAGACTCTCATGGATGCCGAAGAATCTTCTCCACCTTTAATCCACACCCCAAATGCCTTTACTAGGGAAGGCATTTCCATGAGACTATTCTCCTGCTACTGTCAAGGGGCTGCTGAAAATGCCCCTTTCTCTGTGGCCCTGTATCTCAGATACACAGAAGGTAGAACAGCGGGTGTTACCTTGGTGCCCCCAGAAGAGCCTTCCCGGTCTGCCTTTCACTTGGGCAGGGATTTATACAACTTAAACAATTGCTACTGCTGTTTCATTTCTGAATAAAGTAAAATTTTTGTGATGGAATAGAAAATTTCTTTGAAAAAATGCCTTATGAGTACCCTCTTTTGATTCTGAATTGTTTACTTTTATTTTTCCTGTACACAAATAACTCACAAGAAGCAACTTAAGGAGGAAAGAGCTTATTTTGTCTACAGTTTGAGAGGATACAGACATGGTGATAAAGGCATGGTGGCAGATGAATGGTCACATTGCATGCACAATCAAGAAGTGGAGAGCAGACAAGAAGTGGGGTGATGTTGTAAGACATCAAATCCCTTTCCCAGTTACTGGCAAAGCTCCACCCACTTTGAGTCCGACAACATTCTAAATAGTTCTAACCTCTGGATTCAAGCACATGATATTATGGAGGGCATTTATAGTCACACTACAGAGAATATATAGGCAAGACTGTGATGATCAATTTTCTCTGAATTTAAGGCCGCACTAAATAAATTTTAGATACTTCAAACTCTTTTATTGCCTTCAAGTATTATTTGGTTCTTTTGAGGAATAAATTTAGTATTCCAAAATTCAATTCCTCTTCCCCCAGTTCAGGAAACAATGTGTATACCATAAACTTGTTCTAGGTATAGGATTTTCAGTACTTTCATGAGGTTAGCATGATTTCTGAGAACAAATTATCTTAGTAAATAGTTATCAGCTGCCCCTGCCCTTCATTATGTACATATCACTTATATGTGGCTTATATGCAACTAGTACAGAAAATATGACTTAAATGTATTAGTCTGCACACTTTATTTTCTAAGGTGTGAAATGGTTTGTCTCCTCTCTGTGCAGGCCACCTTCTTTCTCTAACAGCCCACAAAGCACCACGTCCTATCACCACTGCTTTCCTGAAACTTGTGAGTCCATACTTGAAGCATACTAGTGTTTTCAGTGTTAATATGATTTGCAGAGTCACTGCTGCCATGCCGTTTAGTTACCAAGTGCCCAGCCTCCTTGGTCCAGTTAATTCTCACATGTTGTGATACTGGGTATTCAAATGAGATTGTAAGTAATCTTCTATTAAGTTTGAACTATGCCTGTGAGTTCAAGGCCAGCCTGGCCTACAGAGCAAGTTCCAGGACAGGCTCCAAAGCTACAGAGAAACCCTGTCTCAAAACCACTCCCCCCCAGAAGTTTAAATTACAATAATCACAACATTACTAAGGTTTTCAGATTAGAAGAGCCTTGAAAGTAGGGTGTGAGCCCAGCCTAAGGAAGCTGAGTTAACATTTCTACTAGGTTCTGAAAAGGACAGAGTGATGATAATGTTTTTAGGGAATTGATCAGTGCATTATAAAGATAATGCCTTTCTGGAGATCTTTTGTGCAGTCATCTAATATTAAATGCTAAATGTTGCTCTTGAATAAAAGAATTTTCTGTCATACCATGAGGAAAGAAAATATAGGGTGTATGTGTGTGTGTGGGGGGGCGTAAATTTAGACTGAGTTGGTATAAAAGAAAGGAAGACTTCTGGCAGTTGTATTTGAGAGACAAAACATACATGGAAATGAAAAAAATGAAGATCCACCTCTTTACCAGGGCTTCCACTTACTTAAAGTGCAGGGCAGCTTTTCCTGTGAATGTTCTCAATGGAAGCTTTTCATTTAATTTCCTGAGACATAGACAGGACCACCACAGCATCAGCGTCCCTTCTGGGTACCTTGTGTGTGCTTACTGTCTTATTCCATCACATTCCACATTGTTTATATTCATGACTGTCTTGAAAGCCTCTCTTCATGAAATGCCCCTTGCCTAGTTCCAAGTGTCACCTCCACAGTGCTCTTAGTTGGATCAACATTGACAAAACCCTCACTCTGCCTGTAAAGGTGTCCACTCAGAAGTGAACCAAGGTTCAGATGCCTCAGGACTAGGAAACAAGAACATCAAGACTTCTGAAACTAAAGCTAGAGTTGATAAGTATGTAAAAGTTTCTGATAGGGCCAACAGATATGTTGTAGACACTTGTCTATGAAATGAATAATCTTGTTACATGGGCAGCTAAAAGATTCCCTGGAAGTGTTTCCTGGTAGGATACAAGTTTTACTTCTGCTCAGATAAAACTCTGACCCGAGTATCTGGTGAATCAGGTTTTGTTTATTACTGTATGAGGGCTGCAGTGTGTGTGTGTGTGTGTGTGTGTGTGTGTGTGTGTGTGTGTGTGTGTGTGTGCATGTATGTGTGTATGTATATGTGAGTATGTGAGCTTATGTGTTTATGTTACTGTGTGTGAGTCTCTCTCTTTCTCGTGTGTGTGTGTGTGTGTGTGTGTGTGTGTGTGTTGGGTTGTGGGGTGGAGTGTTAAGCGCATTTATCTAGGAGGCTCCCTGATGAAAACAGAAGAGGGCTGATTGAGATAACAATTGTGACTCTGGAGAGATGGCTTAGCAGTGAAGAAATAACAGTTGTGTTGACTGTGAGTCTTAGGGTTTGTTGGGGCGAGTTTGAATTATAGGTGCATAGAAGAAATGTATAATAAGGGGAAGATTTAATTCTGTTGGAAGATTTCTTGATATGAACAGATACAGTAGAATATGAAAGAAACCAAGAAACCTAATTTGGGGACAGAACACTCAGAGTTAGATACATCAGAGTCAGCTTGGGCAGGTACTAGTTAAACTTCAGAGAGATTCACTGAGTTCTAACAGGAGAATCCTCCTCTTGGCCTGGTGTTAAAGGCAAAAGCCTCTAATGGCAGTTACATAACTTTCCTTGACACCCTAGTCATTCTCAGTGGGAGGAGCTTGCCTCCCTTCCTCCAGTGCCAGGATCAGATGTTAGTGCCAGGATCAGATGTTAGTGCCAGGATCAGATGTTAGTGCCAGGATCAGGTGTCAACTGGAGGAAATCCCCTTCTGCCCTCCTGTGTCTGTGAATAGCTTTGGCTTCACAGGAAAAAGGAAGAAGTCACTGAGTTAGACAACAATATATAGTTAGGAGTAGAAGGAGATTTAATGGGGACATAACAGAACTGAATCACTCTTAACTTGTTCCCTCTTCAGAAGTGTTTTGAGTAGACACATGATCTCAGGAAACAAGTTCTCAGTTGAATTCAGAGACGCATATGTCCGACATTTATAGGTAAAAAAAAAGCTTTGTAGTACTTCATTTTAAGATATACATGAGAGGTGAGACTGTGATGTAAAGGCCTTGTATACTCAAACAGAATGGAAATTGGTGCTCAGCATCCATGTGGTGATCAGCTCTCCAAAGCACAGTTTTGGACTATATTACTTTTGCTTTGTCTTCTGTTGGGCTAGGACTGGAGTGGCAGTTGAGGGGCAGGGCTCAGGAGCCTTGGGGTGGCAGGGCTCAGGAGCCTTGGGGTGGCAGGGCTCAGGTGCCTTGGGGTGGCAGGGCTCAGGTGCCTTGGGGTGGCAGGGCTCAGGTGCCTTGGGGTGGCTGGGCTCAGGAGCCTTGGGGTGGCAGGGCTCAGGAGCCTTAGGGTGACTGGGCTCAGGAGCCTTAGGGTGACTGGGCTCAGGAACTTTGGTGTCACAGGGCTCCTTGATTTGGGAGACACATGGCTCCTGAGGTGGTGGCTGACAAGGCTGTTTCACTTGCTGCTCATGCAGCTGAGGAAGTTCTGTGCAGGGCTGCTTCTGCTGGTGTGAACTCATGCTTCAAAGATGGCTGGACCTAGACACAGAATAAATGATTTACGAAGGGAATGACTTTGCAAGAAACCACTGCCAATACCACTTCCAATGTCTAAAGAAGTAGGTTCTCCTTTCTCTCTCTATCACAGAGGGTACTTCGCCGTGGAGGTCCTTAAAGGTGATCTGTTTGGTTCTGAAAAAAACAGGGTCTTTTTGGCTCCCCCCTCTTCCTACCTATCATGAGACACAGCTATCACCACAGCAGTGGGCTTTAGCAGGAATATGAGACTGATGCCATGGGCTCATATGGAAAATGTGATGGCATGTAGAAAATAAAAACAATAAAACGCTCAAAGCCCACTGCTCAGCTGCAATAAATAAGATGTTTTGTGTCCTGGAGAATGTCGTGGCCACTCCAGAATACCTCACCATCACATGTGGCTCACACACTCCTCCATCTCAGGTGACCCTTTCATGCCTTCTTGCTTGGATTTGCTCAGCTGCCATGGATTTGCTAGATCACCTGCTATGCTAGTTCTAGGCAGCTTTCCTAGAGCGAGCACGACAGAAATTTTTCTTGCCTTCCCAAACTGCCATCACATTTGCACTTGTCTCCTGGCACTGACCCCTCACAGGATTATCTTTAGTTCTTATTCTTCTGAATGAAATAGATGCAGTTTTATAGAGACAATTCTTCTTTATCTAAATTTTCCTTTACAGTCCAAAATACCAAATGTTTTTATTGAAAGAATAAAATTCTCAGTATTAAAATTGTAGACAAAGAAATGATGTCACTAGAAGTGCAATAGGCTTGTGTTCTTACCTAGACACAGACACAGCGAGGATAGATGGGTCACATCAGTTATGCTTAAAGTTCCTTCAATCATGATTACTTTTAAAAGAAAGTTCTAGGGTTTATAATACAGGTGATTCACCTGCATTATAACTATGACTAAATTTCATTAAGAGAAGAAAATAGACACCCAAATTCAATTGAGGCTACAGTAAAAAGTCACATAAATGCGTAAGATAAATGGTAAAGTATCCAAGTAGAGAAGCTTACCTGGTATGCAGAAAACAGGCAGTGTTGTCACTGAGATTTGGTGTAGCACCCTCTTCACACTGGCTTTTTATAGAAAGAGCAAGCCCTGCCTCAAGGGAATGGGAGCCTTTGGGGCCAGTGCATCTTCATTGCTTACCTGTCAGACGTGATTCATCCTGGGTGCTTCACCCACTTATTGGTTCAGCTTAAGTGATGAAACTAGTAATGTGATTTTTTTCACATGCTGACAATTATGCCATCTAAGCATTAACCCTGAAGAATCCCCCCACCCCACCGTCTTTACATGAGATATTAACAGGGAGGATGCTATGGGAAATCCAGGAAACCAGGTATCAGAAATTCCATCTTATGGGTGTCATAAGTAGATCCTTAGTTTAGATGAGTTTTGGGGGATGATTAGGATCTATGGTGGGCATGGTGGGTGAGGGATAACCAAGATAACTCTGGTTCTTCTGGGAGTCAATGGGCATAATGTCATCACTTTCTTCTACTCAGGTTAATTTAGGCCACAGTTCTAATTATCCATTACTTAGTGGACTTAAAACTAAAAGGGAGATAAACATAACAAAACAAATACAAACAAGCAAACAGACAAAAACTCTAAAGTGATTTTCTTTCTTTTCTTTTTTTCCTCTTTATCTTGAGAGCCCCCTTTCCAAGAAAAGTCACAAAAACAAAAGGCACAAGGCTGGAAATCTCTATTACAGAAGGGAAGCTCTGACCTGTGTAAAGCAAGAGGACAATTTGGCTTCAGGTCCAAAGTGACTTGGTTCTTCTATTCCAGCTACTTTTTCTGTCTAGTGCAGTAAATACTTGGGCAGATGGTTACAGGGGAGATGAAAACTGAGGTGAGATCAGTATATTGGCAAGGTGGGCTTTCATGGTGAAGGACATTTGAAGAGCCTAGTCATAAAGTCTAGGAAGGGCACACATGGGGTATATAGGAGAGAATTCAGCAGAGCCTGACACACAGAGCATCTTTTCTCAAGCTCAGCCATGTTTTACAGGAAGAGGGGAGATGTGTAAACAGGTTTCTTCTTTGGTAGCAGTTTCTCTTCTAAGCTAGGACAACACTTATCTAACCTGTAAAGATGGTTTCATCTCATCCAATATCCACCATTATGGCATGGGCTGCTTCATCTCACTTCCTCTTTCCTTACCAGAAATCATGATTAACTACAAAGTCTCTCTTTCTACACCAGTATTCAAAGAAAATGCATAATAAACAAAAACAGTTAACTTGATATAAAGGTTAAGGACTACAGACTAAAATTTTGAAATTTTCATCACAAAATGATTCTTTTTCTCTTGTTTACTGTGGAGTTCAATGTAAGCAAATAATATTTGGTAGTAAGAGAAAAGATCTTTGGGGCAAACAACCATATTTAGTTGACTCTTGTTTGAAATCAACTTGGAGGGATTCTTTCTCAGATAAAAGATGCCTATTCTCTGTCTGCTCATTTTCATCACATCTATTTAACTCTCTCTATGAAAACATAAAAACAAACTAGTGTAGAATGAAGTAAGGATATATTACATACATTTTATTTCTTTTTTTACTTCATTAAAGAAAATTCCAATTTCTTTATGCCCATCTATTGTCATATTCGAAACACAATGGAATTGCTCTCAACTATCAAGACCTCAGACTCTGTGCTATGGGAGATTGCAACACCAAATGGTGACACATGGAATCTCCCAAGACTGAGCAGGATCAGGCAACTGCCAAGCCAAATGTGAGGCTTATGAAAGAGTGAGTTACGGAGCTTCAGGTAATGACATGTCCTGGAACCTCCCTCCTAGGGTGTGTACTTGGCATTGATGATGCTTCTTGTAGTTATAGTGGGTTGTGGGAGACAATGGAAAATTTTTGGAGTTCTCTAGCTCTATAAAAAACAAACTCACCCAGTTTATTCGTTCAAAGAAGTTTTGAGTGTCTATGGGGCATCAGGTAGTATTCTTGGCCTTGGATGTATCAGTGAAAAACAACAAAGATATTGAATCATTTGGACTACACACACTAGAGGAGAAGCCAGAAATCCATTACAAATAACAAAAAAAAATTTGATGGGCATGAGAACTTTATAGTTAATTCTATGGAAGAAAAGGATATCAATATAAGCAATTAGAAACATCAAGGAGGTAATGAACTACTCTTCTAGGAGGTGGTATTTGGATAGAACCCCCAAAACTGAAGCCACTGGAATATCTGAAGGCAGAATGTTCAAATTTAGACATTATCTGAAGCAAATCCTTCAAGTAGCAAATCCCAAAGCAAATGCTGGAACTACCTGGCAAGCTCCAGGGTCACAAGGGCTGAGACAGAGGCCACAACAGAACCTGCCAGTCATTCTCAGTACAGGTCCTTATGAGTATGCTTAAACACTCTTTAGGAGAGTGTGCTAAAGAAACATCTCCAGTTGCCCAAATGTCATGTTCCTTAATGTTTTGTTTTTGTTTGTGAGAGTTTCTGCTCTATTGTGAAAGAGTTGCATATACGAGTAGATTAAATTCACATCTAAAATTATTTTACTATAGGGGGTTTATCTATTATTTGTTTTTAGCAAACTTTGTAAGTTAGTATTCATGTGATAATAGGACCAGTGAGTTACTTAATTTGTTAAACATAGAATTGACCTGGACTAGCAGGTCATCCTTCAGTGACAGGAGAGAGAGAGAGAGAGAGAGAGAGAGAGAGAGAGAGAGAGAGAGAGCGAGAGAGCGAGAGAGATCAGGGGATAGGAAAGTTTGGAATTAGGAGGTCTTGCAAAGCTATATCTTATGACAAGGTAGCTTATTAAGAAATACAACATCTTATACATTATTTCCAGGGCAGAAATGGGAGGGACAGTAGAAGCTATCATACAATGGGATAAAGTCAGAAGGAAGAAAATCATGAAATGTTGTACAAGGGAACACAGAGTATCTCAAGAATACTATAGATGGAGCACACAGAGGCCTTGAGACTAACAATGTTAGCTAAGCATGGTGACAAGAATTGGGTTCTCAGTATCCAAAGCCTGGCTCTCTCAAGGCCTCAGGCCATTATGGTTCTGCAAAACCTATTTCTAGCTTTAGAGGAGGAGATGTGCTTCTTCTCCATACATGGAACCTTGGGAGAACCCTTGGATCAGCCCAGTCCTCAACAAAGAATTATGGATTTTGAAAAAAAAATCCTCTTTTTTCAATACAGTTATGTTACATCTTGTATGACAAGTATATGAAAATGTGATGAAAATAGGCATGCTGGTATAATGGCAGCTGAATACTTGGGAATTGGCCAAATATACCATTTATTACTAGTCACCTGACACCTATTTTGTTTTCTTTGCTATTTCGGTTCAATTAGAACTTCTATTGTTTGAAATTCAACATAGTATACAAGTCTTAACTAGAACAAAAAGACAAATGAAAAGTTCAAGAAAGTTCATATTGTGAAAAAATAGCCAATCTAGAGATTCAATGCAATCCCCATCAAAAATCTAACACGATTCTTCATAGAAATTGGAAAAAATCTGTATATAGAATATCACACACACACACATACACACACACACACACACACACACACACACAGAGAGAGAGAGAGAGAGAGAGAGAGAGAGAGAGAGACCAGGATAACTAAAACAATCCTGAACAATAAAATAACTGTTGGAGGTAATACCATCTCAGATTTTAAGTTGTATTACAGAACTATAATAATAAAAACAGCATGGAATTGACATAAAAACAGACACATTGATCAATGGAATAGAAATAAAGATCAGATATAATTCACCACATCTACAGATACATGGTTTTTAATAAAAAAACAAAAATATATACTGAATAAAGACATATTCAGCAAATGGTGCTTGCCAAATTGGACAACTGCATGTAGAAGAATAAAAATATATTTGTATTTTTCACCTTGAACAAAACAGCACCAAATGGATAAAATTCCTTAACATAAGATCAGATACCTTCAATCTGATAGTAGAAAAGTGGAGGTTAGGCTTGAACTCATTGATGTAGGAAATGACTTTCTGAATAGGATACTGAGAGAGCACACATTAAGACTAACAATTAATAAATGGTACTTCATGAAACTAAAAAGCTCCTGTATATCAAAAGAAACCATCACTCTAGCAGAGCAGCAGCCTACAGAATGGGAAACACATCTTTACTAATTATACATCTGACAAAGGGTTAGTGTCCACAATATACAAAGAACTTAAAAACTGAACATCAAGAAAACAAACAATCCAACTAAAAGAATAGGGTATAGAACTTAATAGAAAGTCAAAGAAAGAAAGTAGGCAAGTAAGAAAGAAAGAAAGAAAGACAAATAGCAGAGAAACACTTAAAACTGTTCAACATCCTTAACCATTATGGAAATGCAAATCAAGACTATGAGATTTTAGCTTACCTCAGTCAGAATGGCCAAGTTAAATAAAGCAAATG